CAAAACCTCCCTCAACCAAAAATACTTGCTTGGGCCATTCTTTTTACAAGCTTCATTACTTGTCCCCCTCTGCTGGTAGGAGGTTGCATGACCTAAAGCCCACAGCACCACAAAACCCCTGCAATCGTGACCCTCGTTGCGGGCTCTGGAGTAGTTTGATGTGAGATGCTGAGGTTCAGCCATAGTAATCAGAGTGAGCCTACGCTGCTGAGCCCATGGGCAGGGTTTTCAGGACTTCTCCTTCCGGATGATGTCCTGCGAAACCGAAGCTGTCTCTTGTGCTAGAAAGGCTTAGATGAGGAATGGGATTCATGATGTTCTTCCATGCATTGCCATGCTTAGGAATAAATTGAGCTGAAGTCTGGAAATTGTTTGTTTGATCTCTTTTTAAACAGGATGTGTTACAAGAGCTCTATGTGACTTTTCTGTCTCCTATGCATGGTATCTGTGCATAGAAACTCCTTATACAGCTTTCAGGAATGAACCTAAAACCTTCCAGAACCACCCCAGCTGTGTTCCCTTCAGCCCTGGTCCCTGGGTGAAGTCTTCTCTTCAGAATGTGGAACTCAGAAGGCCTGATTTCCTTGTGGACTGGAATCTATCCCGAGCATTAAAATAGGTCAAGCTTTGACCACTGGATAAGGGGCTGACATCAGTGAAGTTTTCCAGTTCTTTCTCCATAGCATGTTCAAGATAAGAAAGTGGCTTTTCCTTTCCCAGATGAGTACAGGTTTTGTCACTTTCTGATAGAAGCTGAGCACAAATGTTTGGTGCCTGGGGTGCTGCATTTTCAGGTCTGGAAGATTATGCTGCTTTTTGAGATCTTTAACTTCATGACCTTTCCTTTCCTATTACTTCGTACCATTCTCTCCTATCTACAGAACAAAATGGGAGGCTATCTATAGCCAGCCCCACCATCGAGCTGTGAGTCGTGACCTATAAAGGGTAATAGCTTTGTGTCTTCCTTTATAACTCCACAAAATAACTCTGTGTTCCATCTGAGGAAAGCGCTCACATGCTTTAAACCTCACTAAGCCACTGGAACTTGATTACTTCTTGAAGGGTTTTAATTCATGCATTCTGATAGAGCAAACTGCAAGCCTTCCCTTGGCTTGGTAAAGCAGGAAAACTATGTCCATGTGATAAACTGAAGAGCAAAAGTAGGGGAACAGTCGTGTCTTACTGCAAAGCCAGGGATGGAAGAGGTGAGCCCTGATCTTTAACTTTTCCCTGAAAGGAGCCCCTTCCCAATCTTTTCCTGCCTCTCATCCTTCTAGGCACCCCACACCTCCTGCATCCCCTTGCCTCTGCCCCCTAACGCTACAATTCCATTGCTCTCTTTCAGATTAAAACTGAAGACCTCAGTGACTCCTTGCAATCTACAATCCCCCCTAGGTCAGGTCACCTTGTGCAGGGATCATCAATGATGCCCGGAAGCCAAATTGCAGGGGTAAGTGATTCCAATGCTGCACAGACTCCAAGGTCTGAAATGGCACTTTGAGTATTTTGACAAGAGGAGGCTTGAGGGTATGATGGACACTAAACTGGAAAAGAGTCTCTTGGCAAGAGTCAGTTTCCAACTCAGCCTCTTTCTTTTCCATAGAAGGTTACACATGGGTTCAAAGGTAGACCGCACACATACTTGAAAATGATTTCCTTTGAGGGTTTACTAAGTAGGTAAACTCAGGAGCTCTCTTGAACTGAAAATAATTGAAGGCTGAGACAACACCAAGGGGAAGCGTTAGATATGCTTGCTTTCTCTTTCGTGAACATCTGGTTAATGCCAATGTTGGAGATAGGATGCTCAGCTAGAGTAACTCTTGATGTGAACCAGTATAGCCATGCTTGAGTGTATTGCCTCAAGTTGATTTACACCCAGAGAAGAAATTCCTTGAGGGATATTTCCTAAGGTAAAAAGTAGGAGTTGAGCACTTAACTCTTGTTAAAAGCTAGTGTGAGTTAGATGCCAGAAGGCCACACAGCTGCTCAGCAATCAGTAGTATCTATCTTCCTTATTCTTTTGCAGGGTATTCAGATCCCATACAAAATCTGGCACTGTTCAGTTTCTCCAAAGCTTCGAAACAGTTCTTGAGAAGCTCAAGGAGCTCTGATTGAGCAATGACTTCCTTTAAAAATATACTTATAAAGAGCTGGTTTTACTGGGGCATCTGCATGTGTGTGCCTGTGTCTATCCCAAGCAAATGCAAACTCTTATCCCCTACTCCCAACAAAGGTCCTGGGGCTGGGACCCCAGTAATGTGACAGAGAGTTAGCGTGTAATCCTGATCTCTCAGTACCTATTGCCTGATCTGCTGGATGCGTATCATTTCCTCCAGACAAAGATCAGGAAACACTTTTAGATCTGGTCACTGTGTTCATTACAGAGTGTTTGCTGTAGGTGCAGAGAATCGGGCTCTGTTGGGTATTGCTTCTTTCCCATGCCAGCACATAGCTGCCTGGGAAACCAGCCTTCCATGGAAAGCAGGCTCTCGATGAGATGGGACAGTCAGTTGCACTTCCCTGTGTAATTTTAGGGAATTCCCTCTCTAAATCATCTGGAAGAAACTGGAATCCCAAAGGTTTCCCTCTGATTTCTGACAACCAGGTTTTGATTGCCAGCACCTCTGTATGCTCTATGAAGAGCAGACATCTGAGTTTTCCTCTTCCCTTTGTTTTTCCCCCCATAGGATATGAGCTCTCTCCACACCTTGCAGCAGCTTGTATTGCTTCCTGGTCATATGCAGTCAGTTCCCCAGTTTCTTCTGTCTCAGTCACAGGCCGGGCAACAAGGTAAGAGCAATGAAAGCTGAAAGGGTGTTGTTATAAGCAGATGCTTACCTAGGGAAAACCTCTCTTCTCTTTGCTGTTGCTTTCAATCTGGTCTGTTACTTTATCCAAGCATGATGGTATCTTTACCCTGTACATTACCAGATGCTGTTTCCCATGCCTGGGATGATCCCATACTTGCGTAGTTGCTGCGGGAAGGGTCCAATTCCAGAGATGCTCCTGGCACCTGTGCCTTGTGTGCGCCAAGAGTGCCACCTTGGGGCCGCTCTCTGCAGGCTTGAAGGGATCTCACCTCTGGAATTCCGGCTGGCTTTCAGGAAAACGGGAAGGAGCAGTCGTAGCCTGCCTGGGCTCCCAGCATTGCTGGGTTAGCGCCCTTCATTTCATGCAGAAAACTGAGGAGAGGTGGAGTTGATCTCAAGTACCTTAGAGAGAGTAAATCCATGGATGGACCTGAGCTGCTGTGGTGAAAGGATGGTGCTGGCCCCTAGAACAAATAGGTCTAACCTAGCCAGGAGACACCTGGGGATGAGAGCTGAGAGGTTTGCCAAGCAGTTGTTCCCAAATCTTGCTCCAAGCCATGGAGGAGGGCAGGAGGCAGAACTGAAACACAGTGTAATCAGACCCACGAAAGGGATGAAAGCACTGAGGACTGAACTCACTACTAGAGAAAGTCTCTGTGCTCCTATTTTTACTGGCAATTTCAATGGCATTTCTCCACCAACGGGGATACAAGCATGCCACTGATAAAGTTTTATGCTGCTTGTGGACAGACACACGTAGGCTTTGATCCATAACCTGACAGACAGATGAAAAGGGACGTGGGTCCTTTGCTCACATTCTTGACTTATTCCAGCACAGAGGTCCCTCCACATGACCCAAAATTCAGATTTAAAACCTTAAAATCTCTGCAGCTTAATTCTACTGATACATAAGCCCCCAGAGAAAATGTTTATTATAGGCAGGTGGGAAACCTATTTGTCTGTGGCAGCATATGAACTCTTTTCTCAGCCAAATGATGCTGAGTGCTGTATAAAGAAACTACTTGATATATATATCCCAATAATCTAGTATTTAGTTTGTTTGAATGGCAGGGTCAGGATTGCTTACTGCTTGCTTTTATTCATGTATAATAGGAAACATTAGAGTGCAAAACAAGAGTTGTTCCCGCTTATAGAGTGAGATTTTTCTGTTAAGTGAATTCTTTTGGCAGCTATAACCCCTCAGACACATGGACACTTGCTTGGCCATGACCCTTTTTGGTTCCAGACTTGATAAAGACTGGGTTTTCCGGCTTTTTGTGCAAGAGCACTTCCATTGGAACAGATGATTGCCAAGTTTTAATGATCCTTTGAATGGGCAATCACAGCCAGTGGGGAGTAAAAGTGAAGGCATAGACTGGTTTTTGTGGAATTAGTTGTTTGCTACAGATACAGTGGAGCATTCTTCATACCAAAGAGATGCATGAAATACTCCTGAAGTTGTTCCTCAGGCCATCATGGAAAACCCTTGATGTTCCTGAGGTCTGACTGATGGGTACATCAGCTCATGGGTTTCGTGGCCAAAGGGACCTGGCTGTGGGCTTAACCTCCCCAAGAGGATACACATTTTGGGTTGGTTTTTTTGTGTTTTCATGCTCGTTTTAAACCAGATCTGTCCCAAGATTTGCTTCATTATGCTCTGATGTGATTATTGTGCAGCTCTCAAAGCAGCTAATGCTGGTGCACCTAATAAGGAGGTGAGAGCTCTGTACTGTGAAGGTGGAAGCAAGCAGCCGGGTAGATGCTGGGAATACTGTCAGCCAAAATATTGCTGCTGAAGTCTTCATCTTAGGAAAACACAGCCTTGGTCCCATCAGCTGTCAAACCGGTGATTCCTGACTCCAGCCCATCATTTTCATTTGAGCTAGAGCTTTGCTTTCGCAAAGGTGTTCAATCATGATTTTAAAGACTCCAAATGACAGAGCATCTGCCATGTCCCTAGGCAAGCCATTCCAGTGATTAATTACCTTCACTGTTCAAAATGTGCACCTCATTACCAGCCTGCATTTGAAATTCAAAGTTGTTCCAGCATTAGAGGAGGCTTATTGAAGCTCCAATCTAAATAAATAAATGGGATCCTGCACATTCAGACCTAAATTAAAAGAGGGAAGTCAGAAAGGGGGAGGGAGTGATTGATTCTGGAGATATTTTTCCCAGTTCTTTTAGCAGAAGTCCATAAATTTGTATAGCTTCCCTGTGACTGTCAGTTGCAATCAATAGAATATATTGACTGTTTCAAGACAGGTAATAAATCCTCACTGAATTCTATAGGCTTCACTCACAACAGGCTTGAAGAATCTGACTTCATTTTTAGGGAACTGCGCTGCTTTGGTCACTACTTAATCCTTTAGGGCATTGCTTGTAAGAGATATAGGCTTGTACTAGGCAGTTTGTCAACTAAACAATTATGCGGTCTCCATAAATACTGGGTTTTGTTAGTTTTATAGATTTCCCTTCTTTTTTCTTTTCATCATTTTCTGTCAGCTTGTATATTCCAACAGAAATCCAATTTATTCGAAATACAGTAGAGAAGAAAAGAAAGGGTCAGATGGCTTCAGAATGATGCTTCAAAATGAAATGTAGAGTAGAAAGCAAAGTGGGGTAGGCTCATGAGATTAACTTTAACAAGATCAGTGCTGAAAGCTGGAGTCAGAAAAGCTTATATTGGAAAGAAGATGCGCTCTCCTAAAAGCTGCAATGATTAAGCACTGGGAGAGATCACTACTAAGGGTGCAGTAACTTCTGTGCTGCTTGGCATCTGAAATCAAAGTTAGGTGTCTATGTAAAAGGTCTGTGCCTCAGTTCAGCCTTAGATTAACGAGCTACATGCAGGGATCAATGGATATTTTACCTATATCATTATTGCAATAATCCCTTTCAGGCTAAAAAGACATGGAAAGAATCTTTTCTTTCTCATAATCCAACTTGGAGCCATCCACATTTGTAATGGCTGAAACGCTCATATTTGGAACAAGAGCTAACTGATGTTTTCCATTGAGAGCTTTCTGAGGCTTTCTGGTGCTGGGTGATGTTCAGCTGCCTAGATGCTGATGAAGGAGCTGATGTGATCACATCTGTCTCTTTTTGTCTCCTCAGCTTTGCAGCCAAACATCCTCTCCTTCCCTCAGCAACAGGGCAGCCTTCTCCTCTCCCAGCCAGGACCCAGCCTGGCATCACAGGTAACTTGCCCCAACATACAATCCCGCCTTGAGAAGCACCATTCCACAAAAGGTGCTGCTTCATTAAGGGCAAATGTACTGTTCTGTCGTTGTGACTTTATGCATCTTCATTCTTACAGGCTGTGGGTCGTTCTGGCCTCCCTGGCTCATCGGTTGAACCCCACCTGGATGTACCCCAGCATTTGCAAGTGGCAAAGCACCTAACTCCATCAGGAGCATCTGAGGAGCCCAGTGACTTGGAGGAGCTGGAAAAGTTTGCTAAGACTTTCAAACAAAGGCGAATCAAATTGGGGTTCACGCAGGTGAGCAGCCCCATCAGTGGGAAGAGCGGTGCCACTTGTGATGTGGACTTGTTGGGCTGGGGGAGCTTATGGCAGAGGTATGAGTGGATGGAGGGCTGGATTAGGTACAGTTTGGCTTCCTTTGGAGAATCCCCTTCCAAGCACATAACAGACAAACCCTTCTGGCTATTTCATTACCGTGATCTCATTACTGCACCTTCTTCAGTATAGAAAGACTCAAGGGTGTAGGGCAGATTCCCATGGGAATTCACTTTCTTTGGAAGGCAGGCCTTGGAAACCAGGCTGATTCTATTCTGGAAACAACCTGAGAGGAGGGCTGGCAGCAGGAAGCTGGGAAGAGCTTTTCTGAGCTCACGCTGTGATTTGCATCTTCCCTGGCAGGGTGATGTTGGACTCGCCATGGGGAAGCTCTATGGCAATGACTTCAGCCAGACGACCATCTCCCGCTTCGAGGCTCTCAACCTGAGCTTTAAGAACATGTGCAAGCTCAAACCGCTGCTCGAGAAGTGGCTGAGTGATGCAGGTAGGTGACATCCTGTGTATCAGTGCCATCAGCCTTGACCAGGATGAAAGGACCCACCCCAGAACCTCCGATAAAAGCCAGGAACATCAAAGCTGGAGCTAAGACCTGTCGTATCCGTAGCTGAGCTGGTAATAGACTACTTTGTGGACCACAGAGCAGGTTGCAGAGCTGCCTGGATATCAGACCACATCTGTTCTTTCTCCCTGGCAATATGGGATTCACGTTGTGATTTGGTGTTTGGGCCGGTCACTTCCTGCATCACCTTTTGCTCTGTTGCATGGCCTGGGGTGAATCACTGGGCTGGTCCATTCAGTCCCTCCCTATGTAAACTATCAGAATAGGAAGAGACTCCTACTAAAGTGCTCGGAGATCTGCCCTTAGGCAGCAATTAAAAAAGGAAGGTATCACTGCAAGGGGAATCCCCAGTAGGAGCAGGATTAGGCTGATGTCCTCTGCTGGCTGCAAACCGGTCTAGGAATGGCATTAGCCTAATGTGCTTCACACAGCCATTTGGGAGTTGAGCAATTTATCAAGCCAGGAGGTGTCTCAGCTACATGAGACCTGATCCATGTGGTTTAAGTCAGTATCTTTAACTGTGTGAAATGAAGGCACTGGGAAATGCATGGTCCCTATTGGAGCAGGCTTGAAATAAGCTGGAAAAGGAAAAATAGTGTGTTGATTAAAACTTTCTCATTCCTATTTCTTTCCTGATTTGGGCATTATCATTGATGGATTTGGGACTGTCAGAGCAATTTTAATCATCATCAGAGGAAGGACAAAATGTAGGAACATTTTACTTACTTTAAGAGGTGCTATACTTCACAGAAAGGCTCTAAGAGTGAAAATAACTCATTGTCTTCTCGATGATCTCCTTCTTTCCCCAGAATCTGCTCCTTTAGATTCTTCCATGAGCACTCCTAACTCCTACCCCTCAGTGAATGAGATGTTTGGACGGAAAAGGAAGAAGCGAACCAGCATTGAGACCAACATTCGCTCCACACTGGAGAAAAGATTTCAAGATGTGAGGGGAAAATCTTTCCATGTTCTGTGGACTCTCTTTGGGTTTCGCATTTGCTAGGTCATAGTAGCACTGATTCCTCAAGAAGAGAGGTCTTGTTTGTTTGCTTGCTTTGATAGCAGGTTAGAAGAAAGGGGATAAGAGGAAAAGCATCAAAACCAAAGAAATCGGATCCCATTATTTCCTTGATAAATGGAGTTTTGAAGGAATTAGTTTCATCCCCACAGCTCCCCATTATCATTCACTGACCAGTGTCATAACCAAAGCTGATTTCCTGCACCCTTCTCTCTCTGAGTTGTGACCTTGTATCGCAGGAACAGTGTGGCCACGTTGTAGCATGGAAACGATGCCCCATTAAGCAGGTATTCTGAGACCCAGAAGTAGCTGCTCCCTTAATTGCTGCTGAATCACTTCACAAGTGGAGCCTTTTAGTTTTTAAGCATCAAGATTTTAAAAGAAAACAGCTTGAAATCAGTTGTACTAAACTGGGCATTGAAAAATGCTCATCAAAACTGGTTTTGACCAGCCCTTGTTTTTTCTTGGTTTCTCCTTCATATCTGATCATATCACAATTCCCCCCTAAGACCCTTAATGAGAACAAAAGACACTCATTGTCATATCTTGATCGGTCCCTCTTTTTTTTTAGCTAGTATGAGCCATTCTTTGTAATTGAAGAACTGCCTTGGCATCTCCATGCTAGGTATTTTTGATCCTCGAGTCTCCAACTCAGATCAAACCCCACAGAGCTAAATGCTGTCAAATTCAGCAGACAAGTGACTCAGAAGAAAGGACAAGCACTATTATTGCCCTTCATAAATGAGAGATGGAGGAAGAAAGAGAATAAAGTTGGAACTGTTCAGCCTGGAGAAGAGAAGCTGCGTAGAGACCTCATAGCAGCCTTCCAGTATCTGAAGGGGGCTACAAGGATGCTGGGGAGGGACTCTTCATTGAGGACTGTAGTGATAGGACAAGGGGTAATGGGTTAAAGCTTAAACAGGGGAAGTTTAGGTTAGATTTAAGGCAGAAGTTCTTTACTGTGAAGGTGGTGAGGCACTGGAATGGGTTGCCCAGGGAAGTTGTGAATGCTGTTCAAAGCCAGGCTGGATGGAGCCTTGGGTGACATGATTTAGTGTATGGTGTCCTTGCCCATGGCAGGGGGGTTGGAACTGGATGATCTTAAGGTCCTTTCCAGCCCTGACTATTGTATGAATCCATGAAATAGCTTTCTTGAGATGCTGCAGGTTGGTGTGCAAACAGCACTTGGAGCTTGTGTGTCCTATGTAGTGATAAGACCACCAGCAGCCATAAGCTACCCCCAAGCAATGATTTAGGGTGCTGTTAAGATCAAAGAGTGTGGTGCCTTATGCAATAACAGGTCCAGGGCCTGTGACTCACCCTCCACACTGCTTCCATGAGACTTGATGACAATTCAGAGGCACTTTCTGGTTCACAGGACATAATCTCCCACCCAAATATTTACCCTTTGATTTAGAAGCAAATTCTGTCCCCTCCCCAGTTTACAGCCAACCCCACCCTGTTGTCCTCTGCCTTTCCAGCCTTCATTGATGCTGTAAATTACAGCTCTGTGGGACTTTCTTTAACCTCTTGCCCTTTCTCAGCAGAACCCCAAGCCCAGTTCAGAGGAGATATCCTTGATAGCAGAGCAGCTCTCCATGGAGAAGGAGGTGGTTCGGGTCTGGTTCTGCAATCGGCGACAGAAGGAAAAACGGATCAGCTGCCCAATACCATCCCCCATCAAATCACCTATCTACAACTCCAGACTGGTGAGGGCCTTTGGATGAAGGAGTTCTACATTCCAGCTCAAACAAGAAGGGAAAAGGGAGGGGGGGAACGCAGCAGGGTTTGCTGGAAAAGGAAACGGGACATTTCCGTGTAGACACAAGTCCCTCAGTTACTGGCAAGGCCGCCTCACAGTGCAGTGGGTGACTGTATCTCCAGGAATGTGCAGAGCGAAAGGTGGGCTAGCACATATAATCCACGTCACAACTTGAATGGAATCTCATGCCCACACTTACAGAGCGTTTACTTTTACTCTATTAGTGAACAATAGGAAGAAAATGTGAGTTTCCTAGAAGGTCATTTTAATTGTAGGTAATTTATCCAAATAGAGGTGCTATCCCAAAACTTTCAATC